TTAAAGGCGTGCGCTACTGTCACCTGGCGTCCTTGTTTTCCAATGTGTTTCTAAGTCAGTCTTCATTTGTTCTCTGTGTGTGAAGCCCAGAAGTTCCCGCAGCACCACTTCCTTCCCCTCCCCTTTGCCTCCTTTTGAATCAGGATCTCCTTGAACCTGGAGGTCGCGGATTCAGCTAAGACTGTGTGGCCAGCAAGTCCCTCTGTGTCCCCATGCTGGGATGCCAGGGACCTGCCTGGTATATCTGCTGTTTTAAGCGTTCTGTGTGTGACTGTCTGCCCTCATGTCTGTCTAGACACGCATGTGTCAGTGCCCACAGAGGTGAGAAGGGGGTGTCAGCTCCCCTTAACTAGAGTCCCAGGCTGTTGTGAGCACCATGTGGTGCTGGAGTTGGGCTCTGGTCCGCAGGAGCAGTCATGCTGTAGCTGCTAAGCCGTTTCTCCAGCCCCTGTGTCTGGTTTAGTTGATCAAAGCTGATGTGAAATGAAACTTACCATGGTGTCTACAGGGACTTGGCATCTTCTCTTCTAAGGACCCCCCAACCTCTGCCGAGCCCCAGAATGTTCTGCTGCCAGATGCCTGTCATGGAGGCCCTTGCTCTGGGGACTTCTGTGCCTGCTGTTGTCAACCAGGGGTTTGTGTGTCATTTTCCTCCCAGACCCCAGGATGGGAATCCTGGCGTCTCCTGGCCCCCTGGCCTAACCCTGCCTTGCGCTGGTCCCTCCTAAGTGACCCCAGATTCCCATCTGGCCCTGGGGCTTGTGCAGCTGCAGCCTGGGCCCTCTCCTCAGCTGCCCTGGCCATGACTCACCTGCAGGCATCTTGTCTCAAAACAAATGTTTGAGAAAGGACAGAGCCAGCAGCCGCCCTGGAGCCTCATGTGAAGTGGGCTGGGCAGTGTGAAGCCCAGCATGTGACAAGGCCCCTGGGAACACAAAGCGGAGGCCAAGGGCCTGTTTGCTTTCTGGGGTTGACCCCTCTTCTCCTCTCCAGCCACAATCTGCTGCACTGAATAAGGTGGGCCCAGAGCTTGCTGATATGGGAACAATCTGCAGACTCTCTGCCGGCATCAAACGGGGGCAACCAACAGCCCTGCGGTGTTCTGTGCAGAACCTGGGGAGACCTCCAAAACGAGCCCACATTCTTCCTTCCTTTTTCTTTTTCTTCCCCACCCATCTTTCTTTCTTATTTCGAGACAGGGTCTCACTGTGTAGCCTCAGCTGTCCTGGAACTCACTCCGTAGACCAGGTTGGCCTTGAACTCAGAGATCCGCCTGCCTCTACCTCCTAGTGCTGGGATTAAAGGCGTGCGCCGCCACCACCCCTGCAAGTTTTTTCTTTTAAAACATGTTTATTTTGTTATTTTAAATTATGTGTGTGTGTGTGTGTGTGTGTGTGTGTGTGTTGCCTGCAGAGGTCAGAAGCGGTGTTGGATCCCTGGAGCTGGAGTTCCAGACAGTTGTGAGCCGCCATGTGGGTGCTGGGAACCAAACCTGCGTCCTCTGCAAGAGCAGCCAGGGCTCTTAGCCACTGAGCTGTCTCTCCAGCCCCTGCAATTTGTCTTTTTATTTTTGTTACAGAAGAGATGGTGGTTTGTTCTTGAGGCTTGTTAAAAGTTCCTATGGTCCAGGCTCACCTCATTCAAGGAAACCATCTACCCCACCAAGGAGCAGGCAGCACTTTGTGTCCATCACTGGGCTTCAGGGGAAGGGGAGGGGTTTGAACTCCAGGTCAACACCTTGGCCACCTCAGATCCGCCTAGCTCCCTCGCACCCCCCCCCCGTCACCCCCCACTGCCCTCCTTTCTTCTCTCCTTTCAGTGTCTCTAGTTCTGCTGTGTTTCAGGCAGACTTTGGGGGGGTGGGAGGCTGGCCTGGACCTGCTCCTGGGCTCAGTCCTGCCACAGAGGAGGGCCAGTGGGTAACAGCCACCAGCCTTGCCTCACAGGGGACCAGCAGGGCTCTGCGCTGAGCCTCGCTCCCCCTCCCCTCCCGTCAGGAGCCTGGGTCATTAGAAAAGCTCAGAGCAGGCTCTGGTCAGGCTTTATGTTCCCAGGGCAACTGCATTTTAACCCCTGCTGAGAAACCCTGGCCTGGCCTTGGTGACAACAGTATAGAGAACCAGAGAGGGGCAGCCACAGGCTGCAGGTCACACAGCAGCCTCACTGGGATTCCTGTGGATGATGCTGTGTGGAGGAAGCCCCAGTTGTGAGTGAGCCCCAATACTCTCTCCTATGTGAGGCCCGACTGTGGGCAGGTCTTCAGTATTGAATTTGTTTGGGACTTCAGACAGTCTCACATAGCCCAAGCTGGCCTAATCCTCGCCAGGAAACCAAGGATGACATACCTTCAGCTTCTGGTTCTCCTACCTCTGCCTCCCACATGCTGGGATGCCAGGCAGGGACCACTCAGCTGGAAGGCCCTTGGGTTACTGAATCACAGGTGTCCCAGAGCCAGCCACACCTGGAGCTAATGCTGCCAAAGACCTTAACTGCTTCCTGCCTGCTGTGACCCGTCCTCCTGTCTGTCTGCTGTGACCCTGTCCTTCTGTCTGTCTGCTGTGACCCTGTCCTCCTGTCTGCTGTGACCCCGTCCTCCTGTCTGTCTGCTGTGGCCCCGTCCTCCTGTCTGTCTGCTGTGGCCCCGTCCTCCTGTCTGTCTGCTGTGACCCCGTCCTCCTGTCTGTCTGCTGTGACCCCGTCCTCCTGTCTGTCTGCTGTGGCCTGTACCTTCCTGGCTTCCTGACAGTGCCCCTGCTCCCCAGGAGCCAACAGGAATGTCAGGCTTTTGGCCTTAGCTATGAATGCCAGATCAACAGGGAAGCCCTGGAGAGAAAGGCTCCACCTGGCCCTTTGGCAGTCAACAGGAGTGAGGGCAGGAGAGGCGGGGGGGGGGGGGGGGGGGGGGGGCCGCGG